GATTATATAATATATCATCCGACAGGTAAGACCAGCATGATTCCCACACGAACTCAGGTCGACCGAGAGTATCAGAAGACAACAAAGTAGCAAAAAGGTTTCTCAACGAATTGGCACTCGACCACTGGCTTGCATCGATAATCCCTTCAATATACTCTTTGTCGTCCTCCACCAGACCAAGAGAAAAACACGCATCACGATACGAATCGTGTTGTACTCCGTCCAACTTCATATAGTCACGATGGCACGTTGCACCTCGAACAACGTTGATAAGACACCGCAAATAATATATGTCACCAGCACCAGGGGGGACGAAGTACAAACGCGCGATACGATTACTTCCTTTTCTAGGCTCCCAACTGTTGGTTTCCGAGTGCCACGTAAATTTGGTGGGAGCCTCAACGTACGTAAGTTTCCTGGCTTCGGGATACTTCTTGTTAGCTTCCATCCAAGCTAAAAATTTGCTGCCGGCATTTTTATTCTTCTCAACCACTTCATCGATCGGGGCTTCATCGGGATAGTAACACGGATGCTCGTTCTCGAGGTGAAAATTCAAGCGCTCCACTGATGGATGCTTGTATTGAATCTCAAAATCCAACAAACGCCATGCAGCCTCACATGATGAAACGTACCGACAATCATAGTACATCTTCACCTCGTCAACTGGCCTGCTAAAGGACTCAGCTCCATTCGACTCATGGAACGTGGCAGTAACACGATCGTTCCCCTTGTTTACGTACTTGAACAAATATTTGATGGACCTCGACTGGTTGCACCACTCCATATTAATGTGCGCGCCGTACTTCAGGAGCAATTTTCTGTTATGAGGCACAACGTATCTGTTATCCAATGGAATGCCATTCTTTACTATGGTCCTGCCATTATCACGACGTTTGTATCGTGGATAGCCTTCTTCGTCGAGAGTCGTGGTTTCAGAGAACTTTTTAGGAAAATATTTTGTGCAACAATCGTTCGCCATACACGGGGATTTCGGGCGAACACTTCCGCAGGGGCCGTGCATCATATGATCTCTAACAGCGGCATAGTAAAACGGATCGGTGGCCTCATCCGGTATTTCGGCAGAAATTATTTTATCAATGCCATCTGTAGTCTGTATCTTGTATTCCTTGGCAAGGAAAAGCAAGATATGCGCATGTGGAAGGCCACGCTTCTGGAATTCAATCGTGTATATTGTTGCAAATAAGTGTATAATTAGGTAAAAAATAATACACTACAAAAAAATATAATTAAAACAATGTATTTATTCAAAAATAGTTGAAATAAATACCTGCTTTCACATCTCCAAACATCTTGTTATGTCGAACATCCCTCATCAGTTCATCCAACTTGGTCTTAAAAACCCGACAAATTATATCAGGACGATCCTCTGGGTTGAGGTTCCTCTCATTAAGAAAACGACTGATTTCGGGCCACTTTGGATTGCAAGTGAAGGTTATGAAAATGTCAGGATAACCGGTCCAACGACAAATGGCCATTGCATCCTGATAGTTCTGAATCATATATCGCGGGCCGCCCGTAAAGGATGACGGAATTATAATTTGTTTGCCTTGAGAACCAGGATCCGTGTCACCGCGTAACACGGCATCAGAAAGTCTGCTGTACAATTCGGTTCTCAAGTTCGTCTGATTAAAACGAATGTATCTGAGCCGAAATCCCTCTACCATTGTATAAGCGTCCACAACAAATTGTTGATACAACCTCCGAGCGGAAAGGATAGAGGACACTTCGCAGTCACGGTCGTGCATCCGATATTTGAAGAACTCGTTCGGACTGATAAACTTCCTCGACCTCACAGTTTTCGGCTTTAGGGAAGAGAATAGAATGTCTTCTCGGTAACCATCCTCGCCATATGGAAAAAGAATAGGATAATGAAGAGCCAAGTAGGAAGCGTTCAACTCGTTGATACGCTGCAGACGTCCACTCCGATGTTCTACTATGATGTCCCGACCGCCCATAGCATCATCGAAGTCGCCAACAACTAATGCTGCAACTTCAGAAGTGGACGGTAAATTATAACGCCGACCATCCTTATTCCTTTTACCAATGAGTCGCATCTTAACTTCTCTATGATCGGGTTGGTTCAACTTCTCTCGCGCCATTCTGAACGACTTTACCAATACATTATAAAGATCGAGCATATCTTTC